TATATATATAAGACAGGAACAAATATTTATTCGAACATGATTTTAATTGCAAGTAAATATTGCATTGGTATTTTACATCATTATAAAATATTAATTTTTCCTTGAATTCATTATTTTTTTTTTTAAAAAAATTTTTAAATATTATGAGTTTATCTATGATATTTATGTATATATATATATATATTATAAAACTATAGAATTTATAAAGTGTTCACCAAAAATCGAGAAAAATGACATTAAAATTTCAAAACAAATTCAATATTTATTTATTTCAGAACACTGTTTCTCTTCATCTACCTTGTTATTTTCATTTTCCTCAATCAAAATATTCCAAAAAATTCTTAACGGTTCTTGCCATACCGTTTCAAATATATTTGAAATGGAATGTGCAAACATAAGAAACTTTTGGTTCTTTTGAAAAATTTGCATGGACCATTTTTTATACAAAAAATTTTGTATCTGCAATAAGTTTGTCATGAACAATTTTTTGTTAATTTAAAATTTCAACACAAATATTCTTTTGTAAAAAATATTTTTTTTTATTTTTTAAAAAACAATGTAAGTATTTTTTACAAGATTCTGAATAAATTTAATTATCAAAAAAATATTTTGAAATTGTTAGTAGCTTAATGAAATTGTGAATAAATTAGATTATTTAAAGATATTGAAGTATTTTTTTGTTCCTATGGATTTAATACAATTTAAAATGTTTGTTTTTTTTTTACTTAAAATTGATATTCATCTGAATTTAAGGAAAAAATGTAATTTGCCGGATTTTTTGATAATATGAAATTGGATCAATTTTTTTAAAAAAATGGCAACCTATCTCTATTTAATAAATAAATTATTGTATTTTGTATCTTTTTTTCTTTTTTTAATTTTAAACAGATTTGGTTTCACAGATGAAAAATTTTATTTTAATTATTTATTCTAGTTTTACTAATTCCCTTATTGGTAATGTATTGCAATGGAAATATATTTCATTTTTTTTATTTATGGAATGAATTTGTCCTTAGAATATGCGAAGGTAAATTATTATTGAAGGAAGTCGTAATGCTCCACATGTCCAAAAAATGTTTCAGGAGCTAAAAAAAGAAGAACATAAAATGTCCTATTTTGACTCTCAAAGAATTTTTTAAAAATTATCTTCTATATTTTTCCGAAAGCAAAAAAAATAAATTGTAAATTTTAAAATGTATATGAAGAAAAAATTTTTTTTTTCAAATGGAATCAAATGCAGGGTTTTAAAAGCTGTTTATTTGCTCAGAAAATAAAACCTGAATCAAAAAGTTAAGATTGTTATAAGAATTAAAAAAAAAAGAATCTGATTGTGTTGAACAAATAAACTTAACACAAACAGAAACAATGACTAAACAAAAAGAACATTCATGACTAAAAGTGAAACCAGTAATTAACGTCCAAATAAAACAAAAAGTTAACGAAACAACAAATAAATTTCCATTTCTGATTCATTAATGAAAGAGGCAATTAGTTTGTTAATTACCTAAATGATACAAATTTTTAATACACCTTTTTAGCTTTTGGAAAAAGGCTGTTTCTTTTGATTGTACTCAATCTCATTTTTCAAGTTCTTGTGTTAAAAGAAAAAAACTGTCAACTTCAAGATATTTCTGCAATAGATTTCAACTCTCTTGACTTTTGTTATTCACAGTTCAAACGATAGTCCGTCGTAACAGTCCAACAGGTAACGTATTGGGTCAAAATAACGTTCATTTTTGTCGGCAAAAACGTGTTCATTCAAAAAAAATTCGATATTTATCGGGGTTGAGGCTGGTCTTCACAATCTTATACCTAGCTAATCCGATTTACGACCCATTCACTCATTACAATTTGCATTCACCACAAAAACTCGTCCGTCACCAATCAATCCTCCATACACCATAATACCACATCCTCTCAAGGGGACCTAAAAACGCACCCCATGCCATTTAAAAAATTAATGATAATAAATATTTATATAATAAAATTTAGCATATGAAAATAATAAGGGATGAACCCAAAACAAACTAAAAATTAACACAAAGTAAACTAAAACATAACTGATGTTAGTAGGGCCCGTCCAACCCAAAAAAAGAGAGGCCGCTGTATTCTGCCCATTGGACAAAAAATCAAGAGGCTCTCTCACTAAGGGAGAGGGAAAAGGAGAAAAAAATATACGGACATGGGGAAAAAAAAAGCTGACCCAGTCGAGATAAAAAAGGGGCCAAAAACAAACTGGGGAGGTTGGGAATCTCAACTTGGATCATAACCAAAGATGCAGCCGGGAACAGGCCAGGAACAACACTTACTCACATTAACTAGGTACACAAAAGTTTGTCTAACCTAACGAGGAGGGGCACCACAGGAAACCACCCCGATGTGACATAGGTTGACCTAAAAAGAGAAAAATCAAGGCTAGCCCCGTTCAATCGAACCAAGCTCGCCTCAGTCACCCACCTTTCGCTAAAGACTGTCGAATGCAAGCGTTTTCTATCAGTTCTAATCTTCATCTTGAGCTGATGCTCAAAGAATCGGATCAGATCCTGATGAGAAAGACGGATACCTCGCAAGACTTCCTCCTCTCGCGTCGTCCAGAATCACCATTCGGGCCGTGGCCAGCAGCGTTAGAAACACCATTCGTTTCACCCAGAAAACAGGGGCGACACATTGTCACACGCGTATGCACGATCAATGAGCACGAGCTTTTCGGGGACGAGACGAGCCGTCAACTCGCCGACATGGTCCCCATAAATATATCATACCCGATGAAAAAATGGTAGCTGTCAATCAATCATTCAATTTTTATGGCACTTTTTCCCATCAAAAATAACTGAATCCGAATGCATGTCAATAAAAAATGAAGTTTTCCAATATGCTCAGTGACTTTTGTACACTGAAATCAATAAATTTGGGGTTATTTTACCTTTATAATAAAAGAAGCGTCAGAAATTTTTAAAGACGATTTAAATTTACAAGCTCTTCAAAAACGCTTTTAAAGGATGGCTCCAAAAGAATCACGCTCATCCTTGAAAAGTTTCATTATATTTGATTAAGGCAATCCTCTGGCAGAACCTATAAACATCCACACCGATGAATCCCCATCTTGGCGGGAACTTTTTTCATTAATCCCCTTTATTCTTTTCCTTTCTTTAAACATTAATTATTCCTGTATTTTTATTTTCTTGCCCTTTTCGAAAAAAACAATCATTAGCTAAGAAACGATGTCTCTTCAAATGAAGAAGATATTAAAAAATTTAAATTTAGCAAAAAAAAAATATGGTATGAAAAATAAAATTTAAAAATAAAAATGCATTTTCTTCTCTATAAGGACAGTTTGAAAACAAAAACAAGAATCAAAAACTCAACTTGAAACTGGAAAAAAAATAAATGAATATCTCCTAACTGAGCAAAATAAAGAACAGGCTGATTATTTTATTTTTATTTATTTTAAATAGGCCCAGTTCCAACTCAGTTGCTTCTTAGTTTTTAGGTTTCAAACATTTTTGTTGACAAACACAAATTTTTGTGTTTGTAGAGGTTTGCTGGTTTTTGGGGTTACAACCATTCTCAAAAAGGTTGCCCAAAACCCTGTATAATTCTTTTACCTTTAGCATTGATAATGCGAAGCAAGATTAGGCCGAGTTTAAATGGGTATCATGAGCATTAGCCTGGGCAAAAATTCCTTACAGACCACGTAAAATGGAGTAAATTTTCGAGACGAAACTCCTCCTATGTGAGCCTCATCTGGGCGATACCCTTGACATAAGCCAGGATGACAGAAATATTCAAAAAAAATCGTAAAATCTAGCAGAAGATGTCCATAGTTCTCGGAAAAAAAAAAACTGAAAAAAGTAGTCGGCAATTGGAACTTTTAGACCATATAGACGAGAGGCATGTCTTCATAGTATGTTTTGGCAAACATTTGCTTACTAAAACAGGAAAATCGAGTTATATGAAGTCATTTACCAAAACAAATGATATTTAACAAATGACACAAAATATTAACAATTACAGTCATATTTGGAAAAGTTAAAATTAGCTGGTAACCTGAAAATTTTTCACAAATATATGCCTAATGACAAATTAAGTTTCCGGTTTAAAGAGCCATATTTGTTTAAAGCACAACTAAGTCTTTTCATAAAACTTCTGATGGTCATAAATCCAAACTGGCAACTATTTGGTTTGATATGTCCTGAAAGGGATATATTTGTTCCAGGTACCTGTACTACAAGAGCCTGAAATACCTGTAACAATGATCCATGCCTTCTGCAGGTAAACAAAAGGACTGGTCCTCATCATAAAGGTAGGCAATAGGCGAAAACTCCATTAGAAAACCGTCCAATAATTAAGGCAAATGAATTTGAGACTGACACCAGCCAATCATATTACTGTCAAAACCTACGTTTAAATATTTTTTATAAATAAATATATATATATATATATATATATATATATATTGTATATATATATATAATATTTATAATTTCAATAATAATATAATTTACCATCAATGTTCAGTATAATAAAACATTAAAATTCTTTCCACATTTTTTAATTAAAATTGGCCTCAGGCCAACAGCCTTCCTATTGTTTTAAGATGAAAACAGACTGTCTCCCATGGTGTTGAAATAATGTCCAAATTATATATAAATATAAATATATATATATTATATATATATATATATATATAATTTATTTTTCTAAAGTCAATTTAGTAGAAAGTTTATCCGTTTTTATTTTTTATTGTATATTCCAGTGTTCGAATAAGAAATGTTCATCGACATCAAAATTGTGGTTAGACTGTCCAAGAGGTCATTTTTATTCTGTTTTTTTCGAGAACTTTCGAATGTCATCTTAACATTGTCAAAAAAGTAAAAAACAATATTGTAAAAAAATTTTTCTGGTCAACATCCTGGCATTTTTGAACGAGAGAAAGAAAGAATAAAAAAAACAGAAATTCAAAAGAAAGAAAGAAAGAAATAAAGACAAATAAAAAGAATTTATCTCTTAAGAAAGAAAGAAAGAAAGAAATTCAAGAAAGAAAGAAAGAAAGAGAAAGAAAGAAAGAAAAAAAGACAAAATAAATAAGAAAAATCACAAAAGAAAGAAGAACAAAATAAGCGAGTATAAAAGAAAGAAAGAAAGAAAGAAAGAAAGAAAGAAATTAAAGAAAAAATAAAAAAAAAAAAGAAGCAGAAAAGAAAAAAGAAAGAAAGAAAGAAAGAAAAGAAAGAAAGAAAAAAAAAGATCTTTACTAAGTGGAATTTGTACATTTTAAAGAAAATCTTGGACAACAATAAATGGGAAAGAAAAAAGAAAAGTGAGAACTTCGCAAAAAAAAAAAAAAAAAAAAAAAAAGAGAATTAGAGAAAGAAAGAAAGAAACAAAGAAAGAAAGAAAGAAAGAAAAGAAAATCAGAAAGAAAGAAAAAAGAAATAACTACGTGGAAAGAAAGAAAGAACGAAAGAAAGAAAGAAACTAAGAAAGAAAGAAAAGAAAGAAAAAAGAAAGAAAAGAAAAAAAAAAAGAATGTTTAAAGAAAGAAAGATGAACGAAAGAAATAAAGAAAGAAAGGAAAAAGAAAGAAAGAAAGAAAGAAAGAAAGAAAGAAAGAAAGAAAAGAAATAAAGAAAGAAAGAAAGAAAGAAAATGACAGACTCAGTAAAAAAGTGAATGGGATCAACTGATAGTAATCATCTCGTGGTAAACTTATAATTCTTCATCTCAAACTTTTACGTCTATTCTAATAATCAACGTCCAATTTGTAAACCTTTGATACAATGCATCTTCAGCTCGAGATAAAACGGAAGGTTCGGGAGGAGTCAAAGAAAAGTTCGGGACAAAAAAAGTCGTAAAATTGCCTGATTGATCAACAACCTTTTTTCAATGCTCAAATATGTAAGCATTTTTATCGACCAGGCAAACATTAAGCCTCAAAAATGTACATCCCGATGAAAAATTTTTCAAAGAATCAAATATTCAATTTTTCCAGAATCGATATTTTGGAGGATTTAATCCATTTCACAAAAGCATTCACGTTATATTCCAAAATTTAATAAAAAAAAAATATCAAAAAAATCAAATTTACGTTGATTATATTCAATAATGTTCCAAAGGGATTTACATTTATCTAACCATATTTATTCTTCAGGATAAAATTTCTTGATTTACAATTATTCTATTCGTTAGAATTTCCTTATCAATAAAATATTAATTGATTGCTTTAATTTTCATTTCCGTCCAGGATAAAATAAAATAATATGTTTTTAGAATAATAATAAAATTACAATGAATGGATTAATATATATGAGAATTTTACCAATACTTTGTGTTATTTATATTATTCCAGAACAACGTATCTAATTTTCGCCATATTTATTAAAACGTTTCGGCCGGATTTAATAAAAAGCCTTCTATAGGTTGTTTGAAATTTCAAACTGAACCCTTTTATTTCGCTCAAAATTCCCTAGACCACCTGAAGAAGGCCGTTCATTCAAACCGCTGAAACGTTGTAATAAATTATGGCGACAAAATGAAGACAATCAGTCAAATAATGTAAAAAATTTAATTTTTTTTGTTTTTTTTAGTCTTGAACTTCCTTCTCCAAATTTGTTATTTAAATTCCGAACAGCCTAATTGATACATTTATAAAAAACTCGTAATTCTTTTAACATTGGGTCATTTTCATCCAGTAACGTTGGTGTTCTTCGGTCTTTTTTCCATTTCTCTCTTCATATTCACTAATCGATGCCAGCGTAACGCGATGAAATGTTCTTTTCGCTTATCAGCGACGAATTCATATGAACACGGAATATTCTGCATTTATTTAATGCTAAATATTTAGTGGTAGTTTAAACCCATACATAGAGACAAATACGATTTTTTTTTTGATGATGATGCTCACCTTGTTCGCTCTAAATAAGGGCTTACAGATTAAGAGGCACAGTTTATACGGATACGTGGGGAAGATTTAACCCTAGACTTAAATAGGTTTAGATTGTAGTGATTGGGAAGCATTATCTTGGGAGTCGTTTTCACAAAGCAGACCGTCCTGGATATGACGATAAACTGCATCCGCTTCCTGGGTAAGACAATAAACTACATCCAGCAGCAAGGCCTCTGATCAGGAGGTTTTTGGGAGCGTGGAATCACCTCTTAATTGGCTGGTGTTCCCATGTCCACCCTGACCTGGGGTGGCAGCACCTGTTAGGGTCCCAGCTATGGAAAATAGTTAACCCCAAAGTGGAGTCAAAACACTATGAAAGTGTAAAATAGGTTTTAATACCAGAAATACTTTGTAAAATTATTACCAGCAGATATATATTTTTTGAAAATAATACCGGAAATACTTTTTTGAAAAAAAAATATTTTTGCAATTTTTGAAGGAAAAAATATTACCAGCCATATAGATTTTTGGCAAAAAATATTGCCAGAAATACATTTTGAAAAAAAAAAAAAAAAAAAAATTACCAACAATAAAAATTTTTCGAATTAAATAGCCCATTGAGGTTGATATACATTTTCCCAAAAAAAACAAAACCAAACAAACAAACCTGGTCATTTAAAAAGGTAGAAATACCATCTGACAATTTTTGAACCTATCCAATAAATATAAAAAAGAAAAGATCATCCTCAGTATTATTCTCTGCAAACTTTTTCAGGATATTAAAATCTGCATATCAACATCTTTCATATTACCTACATTTCGAAATTTATCGTTCTTTAAGACCAGAAAAGCATCATCAATTTATAAATTTATTTAAATTAAACTAAGTTTCTTAATTTTGATTTATAATCTCCTACCAAACTTGCGTACTAAACATCTGTTTTACGATTTGGTAATTTTTGTTTTGTTTTTGCATTAAATTTTTCACTAATATTGCAAATTCTTTTCATTGTTGCATTTCGTTTAATGTTTTTTTCTCTGATTTACTAGAACGATATGATTATATTATATCTGACAAAAAATAATGTTTCATAGTATTTTATTTCGATCAGATTTATTCTTTTGTACTTTTCTCACAGATGACATGGCTAAATATTTTATTATGGTATAAAATTATAAAAACATACATCCAACAGGTCTTATTATACACAATTTGAGGTTTGAAAAAATATTTTTAAGCTCTAATTCGTTTAAAACATAAACGTTAGGGACTAAAATTTCCAATACAAACAAACATCTTATTATAAAAACAGGCATTCAATTATCGTAAACAATGATATATTGTAAAACAAATTTTTAAACATTTAGTTTTAAATTTTCAAAAAAAAAATGAAGTCTATCCTCTAATAAACAATTCTACCGGAGAAGGACAAATGAATTGAGTAATATCTCGAAATAAAAAAAAGGTTTTTATTTCCCCATTTTAAAGTTCTTTGGCATAAGATGGGATCATTTCTGCATGAATGTCGCTTAATCTCGACGATCAGGATTAGTTCGGTATTCCAATCAATAGTGAATAGATATTTCATTTAATTTCAATTGGAAACCTCTAACGGTTGAAGATATAATCAAAGTCGTTAATTTTTTTTTCATGGACTGGTATCCAATTCCATTTGACGAAATAAGACGCTAACGCGAATCTGAACAAAACCTTATTGATACAAAATTAAACAGAGGAAACGAAAGAATGATTAACGTTTTAAAGAAAAAGTCTCAAAAAAAAAATGTAGAAGCTAAATTGAATATATTAAAAAATAAAAAAACAGATCGGTTTAAATCAGCAAAAAATTGGAGTTCCAATTCGGCGTATTTTAAAAAAATAGACAAAAAATTAAATGAAAAAGAAATCATAAAAGATTCCACCATATAATTGTAGACATTTCAACGAAAGATCGTTAGGAGGTAAATTGGCAATATATGAATAGGAAAAATTTCGTGTGCCTTGGAAGAATGGACAAGAAGGATGAGTGTTGTAAAATGAAAAAACAGAATACATAATTTGACAAATTCAAATATAAAATCAGGTAGAAAAATTTGAGGAAATATGTGATTCTGAAATATTTAAAAAGAATATTAAATTTCAACTCGATTCAGTTTTGTCAGATTTTAAAATAATGAACAATAAAACATGAAAATTTTAAAAGACCTACAATAATGAAAAAAAACGAAAATAAACCTCGACGGTAACTGGAAAGGAAATAACAGCAGAAAGTTAAAGTTGTAGCTGAACATGAAATTGAACAGGAAATTTAAAAAAAAAAGTTTTTCCACTAGAAAAGATGGAGAAAAACTTTTTGGGTATCCTAATTATTGAAACATTCGAATTGTTCATAAACCGTTAAACCTCATTCTGCAGAAAAAAATGAAAAAAATAAACAAACAAGACTCTACATTAAAGATGAATTAAATGAAAATAATTCCAAACCTTTAAGATGAATTCTTTTTTTTACTAAACCTTTTGATTACTAAATTTGAATTAAATCAAAATAGAACAATTTTTAAAAAGAATACGTAACGTGCCTTTCGCAAGTTCTTAAATAGAAAATTAACGATAACTTTATAAACAAAAAAAAAATGGGAATTATTTCGAAAGTATAATCTAATTCATGGGCTGCGCCTATTTAGATAAAAAAAATCAAACCAAGTCAGAGTCTGCGTTGATTTTTTGACAAAGTTTTCCTCGGTAATTAAGACTACCATTACCCGTTACCAAGTCCGGAGGAGATTTTTAACACGCTAAATGGTGGAATTATTTTTCAAAAATCGACTTATCAATGCCATTATCCAAATTCCTGTCGAAGAGGAATGTTTTATTTTTTTAAAAATAAACACGTATATACTGTTTTCAAAATCAAACAACAGGCTTCCTTTTAATATTAAAATTTAAAAATATTTTTTATACAAGCTATTTTCGTCAGGTTGAATGATTTAGTACTTTTATTCTTTCATCTACTTTTTTACTGACATCATTTTAACAAGCGAAACCGTCGACGAACAATGAGAGCATCTCAATCAAGGTCAGATTTAAAAACCAATAAAAAGACTTTGGTTTTAAAATCAAAAAGTCAAAGTGCGAATTTGGTTTGGAGGAAATAAAAGTATTTAAAACATCACCAATCAACAAAAGGGCAGATTTCCAGATCCGGAAAGGTCCATTGCGATTAGAAAACATGCCGACGCCCACTAATGTGGCGATGATACAATGTTTTCTGGGGCTTTTATTATCAAGCGTTCATTAAAGGAATGTACAATTTTTAAGCTGTTTAAATGAACTGCTAAAAAAATGACAAGGCATGGAAATGGAATTTATCTAGAATGTCAGAAAGCCTTTGATGAAATAAAGAGAATGCTTAATCCTTGGACCTCTTTTTTTCTTGATTAAAATCCAAAATTTGTCCGATTGTATTTAGTGATGCCAGTTCATACAGGATAGGAGCGTGTATTCAATCCATAATGCCAGATGGTTCTAGAAAACCAATTGCACATGCTTCGAGAATTTACTTCCCAGGAGAAAGAAGTTACTCACAAAAAGAAAAGAAATGTAGAGTATTATTTTTATTCTTAACAAAAAAAGAAGATACATCCATGGCAGACATTTTATGCTTGAAATTTTGCATAAACCACTGATCACTATTTTTGGTTCAAAGAAAGGGTTACCCATTTATTCGGAAAATCGTCTGTTGACTTATTGTCGGAACCATTCTTCTCAATTATTTTTCACATAAAGCGCCTATCATCCAAAAAAATATAATTCATGCAGATATTTTATCAATTCTCGTACCGAGTCAAGAAGAAAACATTCGAAGAATCAATTATTGCAAATATCAGAGCAGATTAAAGGTTGTAAGCATGGTAAACAACATTGTAAGAGAGCTATTGGTTACAAAAGGAAATTAAAAAGAAGCTGAAAGCGATTTTTCATTTTTTTAAAAAAGCAAAATGCTTTCAAATGACCAAGAAATAGGAGGTTTATTCAATAGGTCACAGAGTTTTATTATATGGTGAAAAGTAGTAGTACCAAAAAGTTGCAAAAAATTCATACTAAAATGACATTCATATGGGTCACCCGAAGAATAGAACAAAAAGACAATGTTTTTCTAAATCTTTGTCAATTGGAAAGGAATGGATGAGGATATCGCAAACATGGTTCATCAACGTAAAAATAAGTTAATTAGCAGCCAAGGCACCACCAAAAGAACACTAAAATGCATGGCCCAAGACGGATCATCTGTGGACAAGATTTCACATTGATTTTGCTGGTCCAGTAAAGATTATTGCTACTTAATAGTGGTAGATCATTTTACAAAATGGCCGGAAGTACTATGCAGCAAAAAACTGAACAATACCACAACAACTTTCTTGCATGAACTATTTGCACAAATCGGTGTGTCATTAGGTATTGTGAGTGACAATGGTATACCAATTCAGTTCTGAAAAATTTATGGTTCATTTTGTTGGTTATATCAAATTAACCACATAACGACACATCCAATCATCCAAAAATGTCCAATGGACTCGCAGAAAAGATTTGTCGATACTTTAAAGCACGCTCTGAAGAAAGCCTCAAAAGTTTCAACGGAAAAATGCTTCAGCAATTCAAACAAGTTATAAGAATCAATCCAAACCAGAGAACACACTCAAACATGGCACCAGCTGAACTAATGTTCGCTAGGAAAGTTAAGTCAGTGTTTGATGACTTTTGCCAGGAAAAAATAGAGTAAATGAATACTATTATACTTAGAGAAAAAGATACACCTCCAGAGAGAAGGTTTTTTTTCATTGCTACAAAAACAACGTTGAGTTCTGGGGCCAGCAAGGCATTATGGACAAGAGAATCAGTGAATTGATTTGTATAATTAAAGGGCTGAAGAATACT